CAAACTTGGCCCTTTTAGGACTGGTGGACTTCAACTCCCAGAATTCCTCAGCCAGCTATGCTTTGTCCCCAACCTGTTTTTCTACCTTGTGGCAATCACATAATGTAGGGGTCTTCAAATGTGGTCCTTTTAGGACTGGTGGACTTCAACTCCCCATGCTGAGGGGAAAGGGAGGTTTCCAAGCTGAGCCATGCTGGCTCAGGAATTCTGGGAGTTGAAGTCCACGAGTCATAAAAGAGCCAAGGTTGCCTACCCCTAACCTACACCCTTACATATAAGTAACATATAAATATTAATCACTCTCCATCTTGAATACACAAGGGAAGGAGGAAGCTTCATGGCCCCTGACAAATGGAATACATGGCCCCAGAGGTGAGGCTGGCCCTCACTCATCTGGCTTTCCAGCAGAGCATTAAGAACTGGCTCTCTCAACTCGCACGCAGATCCAACAACGGTAGGCAACCCTGGTGGCTGGAGAGAACTCTTTCTACCATTTTGTTTTTAGCTCTGTTTTTAATGCTCTCCCTTATGATATGGCTTTCTGGTTCTAATCTATAAACTCCCTAGAGTCCTTCAGAAAGATGGGTCGTGTATTTGATAAACAAGCAAACAACAAAAAAAAATCAGGATTAGAATGAAGAAGTAGATGTTTTAGTTATTTAGATAGCAAAATAGTTACAAAAAAAAGTATTATTTGCTATCCATATATTAACTAATGAGCTCCTAAACCAGGGGTGTCAAACTGCCGGCCCCGTGGGGCGGTGTCATCATACCGAAGCCGCGCCCACCCCACTGCCGGCAACGCAAAAGGAGTTGCGATAGGTTGAGACACGTCATGTGACGTGGCGAGTTTGACACCCGTGTCCTAAACTTTCCTTAATTTTCTTCCAAATTTTTCCTCAATTTTAATATCTGTCCACTTTAGTAAAGTGTGTGTGTGTGTGTGTGTGAGTGTGTGTGTGTGTGTAGGTCTTTGGTTATTCGGGTTTTCTCCCGCGTAAAAACCCTAATAACCAAAGACCTACATACAAACACCCACGAAAACCTCAGAAAACACACACACACACACACACACACTCTATATCTATATCTATATCTATCCATATCTATATCTATATCTATATCTATATCTATATCTATATCTATATCTATATCTATCTATCTATCTATCTATCTATCTATCTATCTATCTATCTATCTATCTATCTATCTGTTGTTCTAAATGCTGCCCAAATTCTATAACCAATTTGTATAAAACAACAAAAATATTATCCATTCTTATATTAAAAACACAATCATTAGGAAAGGTCACAGGTGCCAAATCAGCTCTACGTGTATCTGTTTTTCATACTGATTTCATATCAAGAAAGCTTTTACACAAAGTCATCGGCAAATGAACTCCACCCATGAAAATATTGCTCAAGCTTATTTTTGCCGTTCTTGAATAAATCTACTGAGTGGCTCTTTCTGAGATAGAAAACGATTAATGCTGTGCCGTGGACACTAAATATCACACAACTGAGGATATGCAACTGAAAATATAGGAATGTAGGCTAGAGTATAACTGAAACGACTTATTAAGATAGTAACCATAAATAAAACACCTTCACTAATTTTATTTGACTTCTTATAGCTGTTCCACTTCGGTGGACTCTTGACTGTCCGGAATAGCAATGTTTGTTCAAACTGAACCATTACCCAAATTTAAACTTTATAGAAATAATCTTAATTTCTCTTAAATATTGCATCAATTATTCAAAAGTATGTCTCAAAGAAATCCACAGCAAAATTAGAAGCCTGAATATCATTCAAACACTGAATAAGGAGCAAAATCTAGCAATACAGAGGTTATTAAATTTAAATACCTTTTCCTAGGATTTTAACGCAAAACATTCTGCACTGTACAATATACAATCTGCAAGTTTTACTCTGTGAGATGTTAGGCTGAGATAGGGACTATACCTGTTTCACCCACAGAGCTTCCATGAACAAGGCTAAACGTGAACCTGAGTTGTCCTAATCCAGGGGTCTTCAAACTTGGCCCCTTTATGACTTGTGGACTTCAACTCCCAGAATTCCTCAGCCAGGCACTTTTACCACTTTCACCACTCCGACTCTCATTAATGCAAATTGACAGGTTAGGGTTGTCACTCCTAAACAAGAAAATATGTCACCCCAAGGAGTTTGCCTTTGGTGTCTACATTGCTGTAACTTCCGCTGCAATTCTCTAACTTCCCCAAAACATCCATTTCTAAATCACTGATTTATTGCACCTGATGCAATAAAAAGAGCTGTGAGACTAGTAAGCAAAAGTCAACCCCTATTTATTGCCAACGCATAAGGTTTTTTTTTTGTTCATACGTGGCCCTAGCATATTCTCAAGGTTTTTGTCCAGTAACTTAACTAAATTAAAAATTAGTTGACCATCCTAGTGAACGATTGCTAGACCTTTTTCAGTTGAGTTTCAGGCAGAGTGTAGTACAACGGGGGTCCCCAACCCTGGCAACTTTAAGACTCGTGGATTTCAACTCCCAGAATTCCCCAACCAGCCATGGGAGTTGAAGTCCACAAGTCTTAAAAGTTACCAAGATTGGGGATCCCTGTAGTCCAGTACTGATACAGCACTGGCTGCAGTTGTGAATGACCCAGAGGGGAGCCAAGGTGAGGCTGGCACATTCTCCTGGCCCTCCTTGATCTTTTAGCAGTATTATTCTGGACCAGCTGTGGGGAAATAGGATTGATAGGAATAACTGTGGCTGATTCAAGTTACTGTTGGGTCTGAAATCCTTGCCCTGTCAAGTGCTATAGGGGTCAACATTCTCACCCCTCCTGTTTAATACCTATACAGAGTCCCTCGGGGAAGTAATTTTTCAGTTTGGAGTCAAATATCAGTATGTGGAGGACTTGCCTCACCGTTTGGGGGCTGTTGGAAGTCTGAGTAGGGAAACACAAGTACAAACTCAAACCTAGGAAGACTGAGTGGCTATGGCTGCTTCCTTTGGGGATCTTCATCCTTAAATGGGCTGCATTTCCCTTTCAGGTCTAATGGACAATCTGCTAGTCTTCCTAAACTCTTAGCACCTGCTTGAGGGGAAGTATTTGTGAACAGCTGGTGCCCAGGAAAGCTATTACACAAACCCCACTTGTGTACCAATCATGCCTGGACTGTGAGACCTTCCAGCTACTCATGCTTCCATCACTTTATGAGTGAACCACTTCAATGGGGTCTACACTGCTCCTGAAGACCATTCAAAAGCCACAACTGGCCCAGAATGAAGCAACAGGCAAAGCCTAGCTGTGCCCATGAAACACATTTTATGAGCTGCACTGATTGCTAATAAGCTTCCAGGAACAATTCAAGGGGCTAACTAATGCCAATACCTATAAAGACCCAACACGGGGGTCTTCAAACTTGGCCCTTTTATGACTTGTGGACTTCAACTCCCAGATTTCCTCAGCCAGCGTGTCTTGCTGAGGAATTCTGGGAGTTGAAGTCCACAAGTCATAAAAGGGCCAGGTTTGAAGACTCCTACATTATGTGATGCCACAAGGTAGAAGAGCAGGTTGGGGACAAAGCATAGCTGGCTGTTGTATTTGGGAGCAAATAAACGTAAGCGTTTGCTTGCTTGCTCAGTTGCTCACTGCGTAACAAGGATGACCAAGATTAAGGTTTTAAAGCACTGAGCGCAATTCAAGCAAGACTTTTCTTATGGAAGATTCTTTTTTTCCAACGAGTTTGGCATAATCGCTTAGCAGCATGACTGTTTCCATAGGGAGAAAGGTTGAAAGTCGCAAACTTATTTTCACAGAAATTCTGTGTCTGCTGGGAGTTGAAGTCCCCCAGTCATCAAAGGGCCAAGTTTGAAGGCCCCTGCATTATGTGATACCACAAGGTGGAAGAGCAGGTTGGGGACAAAGCATAGCTGGCTGGGGAATTCTGGGAGTTGAAGTCCACTCCTCTTAAAATGGCCAATGTTGAGAAACACCGGTTTAGCTCTTTCTGAGTTAGCGTTATTTCTCCCTCACATTATGTCAGGGGTCTTCAAGCTTGGCCCCTTTTATGACTGGTGGACTTCAACTCCCAGATTTCCTCAGACAGGCACGCTGGCTGGGGAATTCTGGGAGTTGAAGTCCACTCCTCTTAAAATGGGCGGGGTTGAAAAACACTGCTTTAGCTCTTTCTGAGTTAGCGTTATTTCTCCCTCACATTATGTCAGGGGTCTTCCAACTTGGCCCTTTTCTGACTGGTGGACTTCAACTCCCAGAATTCCTCAGACAGGCACGCTGGCTGGGGAATTCTGGGAGTTGAAGTCCACAAGTCATGAAAGGGCCAAGTTTGAAGGCCCCTGGTATAGACCCTCCTGCTTTGTGTAGGGGGTTGGGCTGGATGACCTCCAAGATGTCCCTTCCAACTGTTTATGTTCTAGCTCAGGGGCCTTCAAACTTGGCCCTTTGATGACTGGTGGACTCCAACTCCCAGAATTCCTTTTGGCTGAGGAATTCTGGGAGTTGGAGTCCACCAGTCCTCAAAGGGCCAAGTTTGAATGAAGACGACCCCCCCCGCCCTAACTGGACCACAGACGGCCCTTCCGTCGCGAGCAGACCCGGCGACGCCGCCCTTCCCGTGACTCATTCGCACCACACGCTCACCCATTCTTAAGCTAACCATGGTTTGTGCCCTTATCCTCTCCTCCCCCCCCCTCCCCGTTTCCCGGCCGGCCCAACGCGCTGCCTGAAAGGCTCCTGAGGCCTCAGATGGGGCGATCCGAACCGGGAGCTTTGAGGGAGGGAGAACACAGCAAAGGAAGCCCGGGGGGGATCGTGGGGGGGGTCTCTTTCAGCAGGGGGGGCCGAGCGAGGCGACCGAAGGGAAGCCCCCCCCCACGGATAGCCGGAGACCGGTTTTGGGGAGCCCTGGACGGAGAGGGGGGGGTCAGCCTTCGTAGGCCGAGCCGCTCCGGGAAGTTTAAACGACCGAGAAGGGGAGAGGAGGCACTCACCGGAGTCGTCGCCGCCGCGGCCTCTGAGGCTCTCCCCGGCCTGAGGCCCCGCGGGAAGGGCCAGCTGGAGCATGAGGGGCCGGGGCTCCTCCTCCTCTCTCCTCCCCCGGCGTGGCCGGCGCCGCTTCCTCGGCCCGGGCAGGAGGGACCGAAAAGAAGGAGCCGGAGGAAGGTGGCGGTGAGCGGAGGAGAGAAAAAAAATGTCACCTCAGAAGGGAGGCCGCTGGGATCGCCTCAGCTCGAGCCTTCCGGACGTCACTTCCGGCAGCAGCGGCGGCGGCGCTCCCCGACGGAGGAAGTGCGCCAGGGAGGAAGCGGGCGCGCGGCCGGAAAGAACGGCGGGGGACGCGAGGCGGCGCGCGCCCCCTGCCGGCTCCCGGCCGCTCCTGCAAGGGCGGGAAAACGAGGGGGAAAGGGGCGGGCGCCAGCGCTCGGCTTCCAACGGCTCGCGGCGCGACTGCGCGTGCGCGTTAGGGAAGACAGGAAGCGGACGGGATTAAAGATGTTTTTTTTTTTTTTTTTGCTTGACCCGGATTAAGGAGTTGTGTGAACAAGACTATCAGCCTGGGATCCCTTTGCGGAAAAAAAAACAAAAAGGGAGTAAACCACTGGATGGAGAGAAATAATCTTGCATACAGGGCCAATTTAGGATACTGGTCAGCTCTAATGTGCTCTTCCTATTGCTTGGGACCAGTCTACTGGCAGCGTTACAATTCCCAGGCGCCTAGCACCAGTCAGCATGGCAGCACTGCAATTCCCAGGCGCCTAGGACCAGTCGACGTGGCAGCACTGCAATTCTCAGGTGCCTAGGACCAATCAACATGGTAGCACTGCAATGCTCATGCGCCTAGGACCAATCGAAGTGGCAGCACTACAATTCCCAGGCGTCTAGGAGCAGTCAACATGGCAGCACTGCAATTCCCATGCACCTAGGACCAGTCGAAGTGGCAGCACTACAATTCCCAGGCGCCTAGGACCAGTCAATGTGGCAGCACTACAATTCCCACACGCCTAGGACCAGTCGACGTGGCAGCACTGCAATTCTCAGGCCCCTAGGACCAGTCGACATCCCAAGCCCGCTGGCTGAGGAATTTTGGGAGTTAAAGTCCACAAGTCATAAAAGGGTCAAGTTTGAAGACCCCTGCTCTAGACTTTTCCAGACAATTCCCCCTCCCTCCATTGTCAATATGATTAATTCTATTAATAGTTCTAATTTTAATAATCCTTTTTAGCTAAGTTGATTTTTAGAGCATTGTATTTATCTCATAAAAAGTAGGGGTCTTCCAACTTGGCCCTTTGATGACTTGTAGATCTCAACTCCCAGAATTCTTCAGCCAGGCACTGCCTGGCTGAGGAATTCTGGGAGTTGAAGTCCACAAGTCATCAAAGGGCCAAGTTGGAAGACCCTTGATAAAAAGGTTTTATACCTTTTTTTAAAATATTGTAAGCCACCCAAAGTTACCACGGAAGATAGTCTATTCTGGACTTTTTACAAACTATTCCCCTCCCTTCAATACCTTTTTTTTATGATTAATTCTATTAACAGAATAATTAATTCTAATAATCTAATAATTCTTTTTAGCTAAGTTTGACTCTTTATGGCAGTGACGGCGAACCTTTTAGAGACCGAGTGCCCAAACTGCAACCCAAAACCCACTTATCCATCGTCGGGTGTCGGGTGGGTGTGGCCCATTAGCTGGGTGTGGTCAATGGAGTGGGCGTGGCCAATTGGGTGGGCATGGCCGCAGTGATAATGGCAGACTGGGTGGGACTAAAAAGATCAATCAATTAATTCCAACTTTGCAAGATCTTTTTTTTCCCTGCAAGAAGTTGAAATTGACTGATTGATTGAACCTTTTTTTTTTGCACACGGTGGCGGAGGCCTAAAGCGAAAAGGTTTTATAAAACCCAGCTGAAGGCCTAGGACTGGGGCAAGGGCGCAAATGCCCACAGAGAGGGCTCTGTGTGCCGCCTCTGGCACCCGTGCCCTAGGTTCGCCACCACTGCTTTATGGTATTGTATTGATATCCTTAGATTTTATGCAGTTTTATCGTTAACAACATAAGCCGTTCAGTTACCGAGGGGTATTGTCAAGAATGAGATACTTAACAGTCATCTTGCTACGAAGGAGTTAGATACGATAACATTTCACAGGCATGCAACGGGGCAATGGCCTGACCCAATTGCTTGTACAAAAGCTTATGTTAAAGTTTTTATTCAGAAAGACTGACTACTATAACATAGTCCTAGGGAGGGAGACAAATGAATTTATATAGAATACGGTTCTGTTCTGTTCAGGGAATAGAGAAACCAACATTGACCGCACCCACAATTGTTGCCCCAGAACGGTTACACAAATGCTCGCTTGGTAGGTAAAGTTACTGAAAGTGCAGTCATGTCCAATTTCCTCGAAAACTCGGCCTCCAGTGCTTCCTGCAAAGGGGAAAACAGCATCCATAAGGTTATTTGCACAAAACGGGGGGGGGGGAGCTCTTAATGAACAGCCATAAAGAAAGCCCGAATTTCTGTAATTTGGTAAGGCCACACTTGGAATCCTGCATCCAGTTTTGGTCACCACGATGTAAAAAAGATGTTGAGACTCCAGAAAGAGTGCAGAGAAGAGCAACAAAGATGATCAGGGGACTGGAGACTAAAACATATATAAGGAAGGGTTGCTGGAATTGGGTCTGTCTAGTTTAATGAAGAGAAGGACGAGGGGGGGACAGGATAGCAGTCTTCCAATATCTCAGGGGCTGCCCCAAAGAAGAGGCAGTCAAGCCATTCTCCAAAGCGCCTGAAGGTAGGACAAGAAGCAACAGATGGAAACTACTCAAGGAGAGAAGCAACCTAGAACTAAGGAGAAACCTCCTGACAGGGAGGACAATTAACCAGTGGAACAGCTTGCCACCAGAAATCGTGGGCGCTCCATCACTGGAGGTTTTTAAGAAGAGACTGGACAGTCACTTGTCTGAGATGGTATAGGTTCTCCTGCTTGAGCAGGGGGCTGGACTAGAAGACCTCTAAGATCCCTTGCAGCTCTATTTTAGTCCATATTTTCTATTCTATTCTATTTTCTATTCTATTCCATTCCATTCAATAGTTGGAAACTGATCAAAGAGAGAAGCAACATGGAATTAAGGAGAAACTTCCTGACAGTGAGGACAATTAACCAGTGGAACAGACATTGCCTTCAGAAATCGTGGGCGCTCCATCCCTGGAGGTTTCTAAGAAAGGTTTTGTCTCCAGCATTTAATTCCAGTTTCTAAAACCACCTGCCTCCAGGCCGTGACCCCCAACCAGTCGTAAGTCGAGGACTACTCAACCCGTCGTAAGTCGAGGACTACTCAACTGGTGCAGCACCGTTTGCAGAAGGGGACTTTTGGCGGGCTCAGCAGGGCAGAGACAGCCTGGACAATTCCTATTGGCTTTTGAAAGCCAATAGAATTAGACTCTATTCAAGAGAGTCTATCCTATTGGCTTTCAAAAGCCAATAGAATAAAAGGGAGGAGCACAGCTAAGGAAAAGGGGGAAAGAAAATGGCGGACTGCGTTGTTTGGCGATCCCCGTGAAATGGTCGTTCGACCCCAAATGGGGTCCCGACCCACAGGTTGAGAACCGCTGCTCCAGAAGCAGTGAATGCTGCAACACTGGAGGTTTTGAAGAAGAGACTGGACAGCCATTTGTCTGAAATGGTATAAGGTTCTCCTGCCTGAGCAGGGGGTTGGACTAGATGCCCTCCAAGGTCCCTCCCAGTTCTAATGCCAAGGGAAAGACCTACCAGCTCCCTCTTGGCTTCTTCAATCTTCACTCGAGCAAGGGAAGGATTCTGGAAAGAACAAGAAGACAACAGTTGTAAAGACACACCCAGGATTCCCTCCAGACACCACAGTCAGGGTGTCCCTCCCAAAAAATCAGAGAGCTTCCCTGCATTGCTTAAATACCGAACATTCTAGTTCACTGTTTCTCAACGTTGGTCACTTTAAGATGTGTGGACTTCAACTCCCAGAATCCCCCAGGCAGCTGCGCTGTGCCAGAACTCCTAATAGGGCCATACCTTTCCTACTAAAAATGCTGCCATCCCTCCTTTTTCTGCTTCTGTATTCCCCGGTTTCCTTGAACCCAGATCGCCTTGGTCCATCTTCATCTCTTTTCCTTTCTAGCCTCACTTTGTAGTGACCATAAAATGGGTGCAGGACACCTGTCTACGAAGGACAGGCTCGGGAAGAAGGGGAACGAGGAAGGAAGGAAGGAAGGAAGACAACGGGGAAGGGGAAAGGAAAAAGGAAGGAATGGAAGAAGGAAGGAAGACAACAGGGAAGAGAAGGAGGGAGGGAGGGAGGGAGGGAGGGAGGGAGGGAAGGAAGGAAGGAAGATAAAGACAACGGGGAAGGAAGGAGGGAGGGAGGAGGGAGGAAGATAAAATGGGAGTGAAGGAGGAAGGAGAAGGAAAGAAGGAAGACAACGGGGAAGGGAAAGGGAAAGAGGGAAGGAAGGAAGGAAGGAAGGAAGGAAGGAAGGAAGGAAGGAAGGAAGGAAGGAAGGAAGGAAGGAAGGAAGGAAATTACCGGTGTGAGATCCAGATAAGACTCCAGTTTCTTCTTTAAAGGAACTGCCTGCTTCTTCAAATCTGCCAGTTTCTGTGGAAATAATTATTTTATTATTTCATTTTATCTTATTTTATCATTTTACAAGTAGTCCTCAACTTAGATGGAGCCCAACATTTCTGTGGCTAAGTGAAACATTTGTTAAGTGAATTTTTCCTCATTTTACGAGCTTTCTTGCTACAGTTAAGGGAATCACTGTAGTTAAGTTAGTGTCATGGTTAGAAGGGAATAACAGAGTTGGGAGGGATCTTGGAGGTCATCTAGTCCAACCCCCTGCTCAGGCAGGAAACCCTACACCATTTTGGACAAATGGCTGTCCCGTCTCTTCTTAAAAACTTCCAGTGTTGGAGCATTCACAGCTTCTGGAGGCAAGGAGTTCCACTGGTTAATGGTTTTCCCATTGACTTTTTGTCAGAAGGTCGTACAAGGGGATCACATGATCCCAGGATCCTGCGACAGTCATAAATGTGAGAGAGTTGCCTCTGAATTTTGATCATGTGTCCCACGGGGATGCCGCCACCGTCATAAGTGTGAAAAATGGTTATAAGACACTTTATCCAGTGCCGGTCACTAAATGTCCTGTTGTAAGTCAAGGATTACCTGTATTTTATTTTATTTCATTTCATTTATACTTTCCATTTCTTAACAGTCTACCTACCCCAGAGAGCAGCTCTGGGCAATGTACAATATCAAGTATATTTAGTAAAACAAATGGCTATTCCCCCTAATCCAGGGGTCTTCAAACTTGGCAATTTTTAAGACTTGTGGACTTGAACTCCCAGGTCATCTACAGGTACCGTATATGCCGGTGTATAAGATGACTTCCGGAAGCGCTGAACTCGGCACCAAAGACGGGGGTCGTCTTATACGCCGGAAATACTGGTAGTTTCCGGCGTATAAGACGACGTTCTAGCAATGCGGCTCGGCGATAAAGACGGGGGTCGTCTTATACGCCGGGTCGCCTAATACGCTGGCATATAAGGTAGTCCTCGCAATCATTTATTTAGTGACTGTTCCAAGTCAGAACGGCACTGAAAAAAAGCTAAAATCAGTCCTCACACTTACAACTTTTCCAAGATCTCCGCTGTCACGTGATCAAAATTGGAGTGCCCGGCAACATGCCTATTTACAAGGGTGACAGCATCCTAACCAGCCCAGAGTTTCCAACAAGCGTATCACTGGGAAGAGCTGGATTGGCTTAACACCTATGGCAGTGGTTCTTAACCTGGGTGATATCGCCCCCCAGGGGGCAATTTTGTTTTTCAGGGGGGCGATGGAACAAAAACGGGCGACACGGGGTCGAAGGAATGAAAAGGGGGCGATATGGGGGCGATGGAGCAAGAAGTTTTGGGGACACTTTTGAGACTTTTTCGTACAGTGAATCGCTGCATATCTGTCGTACAAAAACATCAGATCGCTCGCTATTAGTGGATTGAATTGTGTTTTGAAATGTTCCTCCAGCTAGCTTCAGTACAGAATGCCGTACATATGTGAATATGCATTGCTTATCTTCATGTGCGTTGCGCAGCAGCCTCTACCCGTACAGTGGCGCACCATTGGCCAGAATATGGGAGATATGGGGAAAAGACTGGAAATAAATTATTTGCATCGATATGTCCTGATGGCAATTTTAAAGAAAACAACAGAAGCGTTTGCATAAATTGAAGAATTATTTCCTAGGTTGTGATTGAGAGGTTATGTTGGGGGAGGGGGCGATGACAACTTCCTCATTGGCTCAAGGGGGCAATTCGTTCAAAAAGGTTAAGAACCACTGACCTATGGGTAAAAGCCGTATAGGTAGCCCTTGACAGTTCACTTAGCGACCGTCCAAAGTTACAACGGCACTGAAAAAAAGCGACTCGCGACCATTTTTCATACTGACGACCGTTGCGGCATCACCCAGAGTCACGTGATCCAAATTCGGACGCTGACAACTGACGAGCAAAGCCAATGGGGGGGGAGCCAGATTCCCTTTACAACTTGTGTGTCTAATTTTGTTTTTAATGTGTGTCGTTGTGCCAGCCAGGGAAAAAAATAACGAAGGTTATCTCATCTCATCTAGTTTCACGAATGCAGCGATTCCCTTCATAAACGGGGCGAGGAAAGCCGTACAGTGGGGCAAAACTCTAACCTTAACTCATTTCCCACTTAGCAACGTCAATTTTGGGTCTCCATAGCGGTTGTAAGTTGAGGACTACCTGTAGTACGATCGGGCTGCCTCGCTCAAGGCTCGCCTTGCTCAGTCACAGGAATTCTGATCCCAGTTATGGTGGTGAAGTTGAGCACTGCCTGGCCGCTTTCCGTTAGAAACGGAAAACCTTTCCGTTCCGTTTGGCTTTTTTTTATTTTCTTTCGTTTTGTTTGAGTATTTCCATCCAATTATTGCCTCTCTCCCTCTCTCGCTCAGCATCCGATCTGACTGCAGGAATTTGGACAGAAGACGCATTTGCCCCCCCGGAACACCGGACACTTTAAAGTTTAAAGTCGGCAGACTTGGATCCCAGGTCCATGTGGCTGAATATCATTTCCTCCAGCTGCCCAGGTTAAATACCAGCCAGCTGGTGTCGTACCGCAACACGCGTGGCATCCCACCCACCTCCGAAAGAGTCACCAGTGAGTCGTGTGTCAGGGAAGCATCCAGCCCACTCGCAGACAGCTGCTCCTGCAGGGGAGACGTAGAGCAAAAGCAAAGAGGATTACTCACAGGAAACGGACGGAGAGATGTAAAAGCCCCTTCTATCCTTTCCTATAGAACTGGAAAAAGCAGGGAGGGGGGGGGGAAAGGAAGGAAGGAAGGAAAGACGGATGGATGAAGGGGAAAGGGAAAGGAGAGGAGCAGGTGGAGGAAGGAAGGAAAGGAAAAAGGGAAGAAGATAGGAAGGAAGGAAAAGGGAAGGGAAGAAGATAGGAAGGAAGGAAGGAAGGAAGGAAGGAAGGAAGGAAGGAAGGAAGGAAGGAAGGAAGGAAGGAAAAGGAAAAAGGAATGGGAATGAAAGAATATAGGAAGGAAGGAAGGAAGGAAGGAAGGAAGGAAGGAAGGAAGGAAGGAAGGAAGGAAAAAGGGAAGGGAATGAAAATATAGGAAGAAAGGAAGGAAGGAAAATGGGAAGGGAAGGGAAGAAGGAAGGAAGGAAGGAAGGAAGGAAGGAAGGAAGGAAGGAAGGAAGGAAGGAAGGAAGGAAAAAGAAGAAGAGAGGGAGGGAGGGAGGGAAAGGGGAGGGAAAGGAAACACAATACAAGAGACTATCTGGAGCTTAGGGTTAATCTTTGGAGCCATTGGTACTCTCTGAGCATTATTAATGATGTTCCCTTGTTGGGTAATGGAATATTTGCAAAAAAGTCACCAAGCTCTGAGAGGATCCCACAGTTCAATCCCAAAGTATCGATTGTCTAAGTTTGAAAACTAAAAAGAATCAGAAGCAGATAGTAGTTGGCTGGGATAAAAATTGCCCCCTCCCCCCCAAAAAAGTCCATAAAATTGCCAAAAAAAAAAAAAAAGTCTGGATGCACGTATACAGACACTAGGCATTGAGACTAACCCTTTCTAATGGAGAGAACATGTTCTTTCCAACATGAAGCTTTTCCTTTGCAGAGGAACTTCCCAGCAAGCGAAGTCTAAAGGATTACAGCCTAAAAAGTACTTTTACTGTCACTTTGTACTTTTTTCCTTCAAAATCCAAGTAAGAGCTAGGCCAGGGGTAGGCAACCTTGGCTCTTTTATGACTCGTGGACTTCAACTCCCAGAATTCCTGAGCCAGCCATGCTGAGGGGAAAGAGAAAGTTTCCAAGCTGAGCCAGGCTGGCTCAAGAATTCTGGGAGTTGAAGTCCACGAGTCATAAAGCGGCCTAGGCCAGAGGTAGGCAACCTTGGCTCTTTTATGACTCGTGGATTTCAACTCCCAGAATTCCTCAGCCAGCTTGGGGGAACTATGGCCCCTTCATGACTTCTGGACTTCAACTCCCAGAATTCCTGAGCCAGCATGAGAGAAACTTTGACCCCCTCATGACTTGCAGACTTTAATTCCCAGAATTCCTGAGGCAGCATGGGGGAACTAGGGCCCCGTCATGACTGGTGGACTTCAACTCCCAGAATTCCTGAGCCAGCCATGGCTCAGCTTGGAAACCTCTCCCTTTCCCCTCAGCATGGCTGGCTCAGGAATTCTGGGAGTTGAAGTCCACGCATCATAAAAGAGCCAAGGTTGCCTACCCCTGGGATAGGATATCATTTGTCCTCCATTTCTTCTCTTTCATGATCCCCTTTAAACAGATGTTCCCTACCCAATTTCAGACGGTGGGATTGGGACCTGCAGGAACTTAAACAATACTTTTTAAAGTCACTCAATCAGTTCCCCCCAAAAATATCAATTTCATTCCTCAGAAATCTTAGCAGTCTTCCCCCCCCCCAATATTTTATTAAGTTTTATCAGGGTAAGGGAAAACAAGGATAATTATAGGTAACGGAATTCGGGATAGGGTTGAGGGAAGGGATGGGTACAACGATGGGGATGCCCCCAATAACACTCCAAGCTTTAGCAAGTCTTTGACAGGGTTAATCAGTAGAAATCTCAGCAGTCTTGTCCGTTTTACCTCAGTGGATTTAATTTGGCATTTGATGTCTTCTGATTTTTCAATGAGGAACTTCATGTACTGCCTGCGGCTGTCCGTTTTTGCTCTTTCCACAAACAGGAGATCTTCCGTTTTCACCAAGTCCCTGCAAAAGTAGCAACAGAACAGAGTATTTGCAGCTCAGGGTGGAAGTGTGGGGCCCTCTGAGCTGGGTGGTTTTCTTGCAGACGTTTCGTGACCCAACTAGGAAACATCATCAGTGCTAGAAGGGAGGAGGGATTGTGGGAGGAGGACTGTGGAGTCCTTGAGGTTTTTTTTTGCAGACGTTTCATGACCCAGCTAGGTAACATCTTCAGTTCTAGCAGGGAATGGAGTTGGGAGGGAGGAGGAGGAGGAAAGGACTGTGGGGTCCTGGTGCTCTCTGAGCTTGGTGGTTTTCTTGCAGATGTTCCACAACCCAACTAGGTAACATCATCAGTGCTCGAAGGGCAAGGAGGAAGAAGAGGAGGATCAATAGATTTATTTGCTACCCATCTGGCACTTCAAGCCGACTCTGAGCAACATACACGGACGAGTCACTCATTTCCTTCCTTACTCAATCTCACACATCCTCTCTGTCCTTGGAGACCAAGCAAGGCAGACGGGAATGTGGGGCACAGACTCCGGTTGCACAGCATAACTTTTAGGGTGTGAGAAGCAATTGTACACTAGGAAACATCATCAGTGCTAGAAGGGAGTGGGGTTTGTGGAGTGGAGAAGTGGGAGGGGGGAGGAAGAGGAGGACTATGGAGACCTTGATGATCTCCAAGCTTGGTAGTTTTCTTGGAGATGTTTCATGACCCAACTAGGTAATATCATCAGTGCTGGAAATGAGCGGAGTTTGTGGAGAGGAGGAGGAGGACTATGGGATCCTTGGTGCTCTCTGAGCTTGGTGGTTTTCTTGCAGACGTTTCATGACCCAAGTAGGTAACATCATCAGTGTTAGAAGGGAGAGGGGTTTGCAGAGAAGAAGAGGTGGAGGGGGGGGGGACTGTGGGATCCTTGGTTTTCTTGCAGACGTTTCATTTCCCAGCTAGGTAACATCATTAGTCCTAGAAGGGAGTGGGATTTGATCTATTTTTAAAGACTAGTGGTTTACCCCAATCCAAGAACTACCAATTCAGATAAACAATCAAACAATAAACAAGCCTAACCAAGGAAGCACACCTCCATCAATACTGGCAGGGCAAACCACTTGTACATAGAAGGAGGAGGAGGAGGAGGAGGAGGAGGAGGAGGAGGAGGAGGAGGAGGAGGAGGAGGAGGAGGAGGAGGGAGGAGAACAACGACGACTGTGGGGTCCTTGGTGCTCTCTGAGGTTGCTTGTTTTCTTGCAGATGTTTCACTGCTCAACTAGGTAACATCACTGACATTGCTAGCACTAGCAACCAATGCCGGGTGCTTTCAGAAGCAGTATCCTCCATCTGTTGTCTGAGCTGATACTAACACCTCTGTTTGGTTCTGCAATGCCATCTGAATCACTAGAACCCAGAATGCATACCGGGCATACATTTGGAAATCAAAAAAGGCAGCACACCATTTAATTGTGACGGATTCAACTCAATATAGTTGAAACTCTAGAGCAGGGCTCTTCCAACTTGGCCCTTTCATGATTTGTGAACTTCAACTCCCAGCATGCCTGGCTGAGGAATTCTGGGAGTTGAAGTCCACCAGTCATAAAAGGGCCAAGTTAGAAGACCCCCGGTCTGGATCCAAGCCCGCAGTTTCATCAAAATGGCCGACTGAGGAATTCTGGGAGTTGAAGTCCACCAGTCATAAAAGGGCCAAGTTGGAAGACCCCTGCTCTATAGCCTGAAACTCTGCAAAAGCCTTTGGGAGCAAAGAAAGGAAGACAAGGCAAAAAAAGAAAAACCGCCAAACATGCTTACTCCTGAAGGCGTTTTTCCAGCACAAGCGCTGATGTGAGCTTTCTCCTCAGGGTGCTGAGTTCGAGTTCGAGTTGTTTGTTTTTGGACTGTGCTCCATACAGATCAGAAGTCAAGTCGTTGATGGCAGGAATAAAACTAAAGACAAAAAGCCCAGTTAATCAGGATTTGTTTTTGTTTTTTGACATCGAGAGCTGTCAGAGTATCTAGCGACTAGTCACAATTAGATTCTGAGGGAGTTTAGGTGAGATTGGCCGCATAAAAGTCTAATAAATAAACAGATAAAAATTGGGAATCGCTTGCAAAACCAGATGTTCTCATCTCATTCATGAGGTCAGCAAGAAGCAGTTAAAAGACTAACATGAAGATTATTCTTTTCCTCTATTGTTCTTTATTTTTTTAAAGTATAGGCCACCATTTTGAGAAAGACAGCCTATAAATGGAAACAGATAATAAATAAATCTGTGCTAGATTCTACCAAAGTGATTTCAACCTCTAAGTTGAAACAATAAACAAATGCCGTACCAGAGCTTATCTGAATTTCAATAAAGTTTGAAAGCTAGAACTGTTGAGAGAGAGAGAGAGAGAGAGAGAGAGAGAATGAGAATGATGGATGGATGGTAAACAGATAGATAGATGCTAGTTATAGATAGATGGATGGTGAGTGAGAGATATATACCAAATAGAGAGACAGATAGACAGACAGACACATGGACGGACGGACAGACAGACAGATATAGATAGATATAGATAGATAGATATAAAGATAGATAATAGATAGATAGATAGATAGATAGAGATAAAATAGATAGAGATAAAGATAGATAAATAGATAGATATAGATAGATTAGATATAGAGATAGATAGATTAGAGATAGAGATAGATAGATAGATGATAGATAGATAGAGATAGATAGATAATTAGATAGAGATATAGATAGATTAGAGATAGATAATTAGAGATAGAAATAGATAGAGATAGAGATAGATAAATAGATTAGAGATAGATAGATAGATAGATAGATAGATAGATAGATAGATAGATAGATAGATATAGATGGATAGACGATAGATAGATAGATAGATAGATAGATAGATAGATAGATAGATAGATAGATAGATAGATAGATAGATAGATAGATACAGTAGATGGATGGATGGATGGATGGAAGGAAGGAGGGAAGGACAGAAGGAAGGAAGTGCTTAAATTTTCTCCAACTTTGCTCTCTAAAAAACATGAATGATGATGAAGGGCCTGCAATGCCTTCCTCAGAGTTGGCCCTGCAGCCTTCAGAAAGGTCTTTGGAAGAGAGCTACCCCACCTGGCAAGAGATGTGTCCTTTGTCTCCAGAGCCACGGCAATATCCACTAGGTTGTTTAGGTAGCTCGTGCTGGCTTTCGATAGGCTGCTGGGGGAGAGATTCAGACTCTCCATTAACAGCTCCTGCAGGAAGAGGCCTGGGGAAACAAAGGTAAGACAGCAGGTGGTTTAAGGAAACCTTACAGCAGTGGTTCTCAACCTTCCTAATGCCGCGACCCTTTAATACAGTTCCTCATGTTGTGGTGACCCCCAACCATAAAATTATTTTCGTTGCTACTTCATAACTGTAATTTTGCTACTGTTTTGAATCGTAATGGAAATATCTGATATGTAGGATGTATTTTCATTGTTACGAATTGAACATAATTAAAGCATAGTGATTATGCTTTCCTTTTTCTCTCCCTTTCTCTTCCCTCTTTCTCTTTCCTCTCTTTCTCTTTCCTCTCTCTTTCTCTCTTTCCTCTCCCTCTTTTCCCTTTCTTTCCTCTTTCTCTCTTCCCTTTCTTTCCTCTCTTCCCTCTCTCTTTCTCTCTTCCTTCTCTTTTTTCTTTCCTTTCTTTTTCTTCTCCCTCTTTCTCTCTTCCCTCTTTCTTTCTCTCTTTCCTCTCCCTCTCTTTCTCTTCCCTCTTTCTTTCCTCTTTCTCTTTCTTTCCTCTCCCTCTTTCTCTCTTCCCTTTCTCTCTTCCCTTTCTCTCTATATTTCCTCTCTCTCTCTTTCCTCTCCCTCTTTCTCTCTAAACATTGTCTTTTCTCTCTTTCCTCTCCCTCTCTCCTCTCCCTCTCTTTCTCTCTTCCCTCTTTCTCTTTCCTCTCTCTATCTTTCTCTTTCCTCTTTCCCTCTCTCCCGCAGCCGTATGTATGGGGTCTTCAAACTTGGCCCTTTTATGACTTGTGGACTTCAACTCAGCGTGTCTGGCTTGAGGAATTCTGGGAGTTGAAGTCCACAAGTCATAAAAGGGCCAAGTCTGAAGACCCCTGCTATATACTCTTACATATGAGTAACTTATAAATATTAATCACTGTCCATCTTGAATACATGGACAGTGGTTAATATTTATATGTTACTCATATGTAACATGTGAATAATATTATACAATGGTCGTTCAGTGTGAAAAACAGTCACTTTTCTCACTGCCGTTGTAACTTCGAACAGTCACGAAACAAATGGTTGTAAGTTGAGGACGACCTGTAGTTAGAGCTAGAAACCAGGCAACTTCTTCTAATCCCAATCACCAGGAGACGGTGGGTTCTAGTCCTGCCTTAGGCACGAAAGCTGGCCGGGTGACTTTGGGCCACTCAGCCCAATCTACCTCACAAGAGAGTTGTTAGGGGGAAAATGGGAAAATGAAGTACGTTTACCATCTTCAGTTTATGTATCCAAACCAAAAAAGTCGGGAAATAAATAAATCTCACCATCTGACTCATACTCCGCTGCTTTCTGCTTCGTATCTTCAATTAACAAGCGGACATCCCCATCTCTGGACTCGTTGCATTCGGCCAGCTCATGCAAGACGTCCACCGTCCGGGCGTTCACTTCGTAAAGAGGGACCGGCTGGTCCCCAAAAAGCTTCTTCAACCATGAAGTGACCTGCCGCAGAAAGGAAAAAAATAACAGCCTTTCTCCTCCATTCTGCTTCCAGGGTACGAACGTATTTCAAAAAAGCGAGTAGGCACGCTTTCAATGTCATGGCATTTTAGAATTTTTATTAATGCATTGACTCATATCCTGCCTTTATTTTATTTTTTTTATAAAGAATTCCAGGCAGCAAACATACATAATATCCCCTTCTCCCTTCTCTTTTCCCTGCAACAACCTGGTGGGGTGGATTGAGCTGACAGAGAGTAACTGGCCCAAAGTCACCCAGCTGGATATCATACCTAAAGCAGGACTAGAACTCACCATCTACTGGTGATTCACCCAAGGTCACCCAGCCAGCTTTCATGGCTAAGGCGGGACTAGAACTCACCGTCTCCTGGTGATTGACCCAAAGTCATCCAGCTGGCTTTCATGCCTAAGGCAGGACTAGAACTCACCACCTCCTGGTGATTGGCCCAAAGTCACCCAGCTGGCTTTCATGCCTAAGGCGGGACTAGAACTCACCCTCTCCTGGTGATTGGCCCAAAGTCACCCAGCTGGCTTTCATGCCTAAGGTGGGACTAGAACTCACCCTCTCCTGGTGATTGGCCCAAAGTCATGGCTTTCATGCTTAAGGCGGGACTAGAACTCACCGTCTCCCAGTGATTGGCCCAAAGTCACCCAGCCAGCATAAGGAAGAAGGGAACACGGAGATCGCTCCTCTAACAAAGATAAATCTTCTAGATCCCCACAGATCTTACCCAAAAAGCTTTGAGTCTCACAGGGCGTTATTTGCTAAATACTGTAATCTGTTAACTGTTATCCAGAAGCTGGAAGAAGAGACTGGACAGCCATTTGTCCGAAATGGTGTAGGGTTTCCTGGCTGAGCAGGGGGTTGGACTCGATGACCTCCAAGGTCCCTTCCAACTTTATTATCATTATCATCATCATCATCTATTATTATTATTATTATCTGGAGCTGCAGAATCCAACAGTCTTTAAGTTGCAGAGAATTAGCCCCAAACCAGGAAATAGAGAGCAGAGTTGGGGGGTGGGAGGGTATCTTTTCGGGAAAACCTTTCCGATCCTTGTAAGGTTTTTCTTATTACTATTATTATTATGGATCACTGCACAGTCAGCCAGATGTTCAGACTGGATTTGGCATTTTGTCTACCTATATAATTATTATTATTGATCAATGCACAGTCAGCCAGATGTTCAGACTGGATTTGTCATTTTGTCTACCTATCGAGTCCTTATCCAGGACCTGGGATAGGCAGATGTGGATGTTTGATGGTATTACAGGTATCGTCGCAGGATGGAAGCAGTTCCTAATAAGGCCGCCTTTTGCAATTGACTAATAGCGAATTTGTCAATGCCAATTGTGTTCAAGTGGTGCTCCAGTTGTTTTGGGATTGCACCCAAGGAGCCTATGACTATTGGTACTACCCTTGCTTGCTTTTGCCACAGTCTTTCTATTTCTGTTTGTAGGTCTTTGTATTTTGTTGTTGTTATTATTATTGTTACTATTATTATTCTTTCTTAGGACAAATCCCCGAAGGCTCCCAGCCCCGCTCACCTTCGCTACCTTTTCCTCCATGACTCCTTGGCTTCGCTTGCAGTGCAAACTTCCCGCTCCCTGCCTCGGTCGCTGCCCAATGACGTCATCGGGAGCAGGGGCTCCTGGGAGTCGTAGGCCGGCTGAAATAGCCCCTTCGAGGAAAAGAAAGGGAGAGTCCTTTTTTTTTTTCCCTTCCCCTCTTCCCCCCCCCCTTTTTTAGGTCAAGGTTTTGGGGAGGAATAGAAGATGGAAGAAAAAAACTTTATTTTCATTCCACAAACCAAGCTGATGCCTGGGATGTTGAGCTGAGATTTTTTTATTTTTATTTTTTAAAAAAACCTTCCTTCCCTCACTTTGAAGCCAACAAAAAAAGTGAAACAGACATCGTCGCCAGCGTTTTTTTTTAAAGCGCGGTCGGAGGACATGAGCAGGAAGAGGGGAAAGGAAGTGCTTCCGGGTCGTCACCGCGGCAACTTTCAGGGAGGAAAGGGGCGTAGCCTGGGGGAGAGTGAGGTTAAACCCGACTCCCGAGAGGGGCGGAGTCGTCAGCGCGGCAACTTTCAGAAGAGGGAAGGGGCGTGGCCTGGGGAGTGTGAGATAAACCTGACCCCCGAAGGGGGCGGAGTCGTCACCGCAGCAACTTTCAGGGGAGGAAAGGGGCGTGGCCGGGGAGAGTGAGATAAACCTGACCCCCCCCAGAGGGGGCGGAGCCGTCACCGCGGCAACTTTCAGGGGAGGGAAGGGGCGTGGCCTGAGGGAGAGTGAGGTAAACCCGACGGCCGGGGGGGGGGGCGGAGTCGTCAGCGCGGCAAGTTTCAGGGGAGGAAAGGGGCGTGGCCGGGGAGAGTGAGATAAACCTGACCCCCCCAGGGGGCGGAGCCGTCACCGCGGCAACTTTCAGGGGAGGGAAGGGGCGTGGCCTGAGGGAGATTGAGGTAAACCCGACGGCCGGGTGGCCGGAGTCGTCACCGCGGCAAGATTCAGGGGAGGAACGGGGCGTGGCCTGGGGAGTGTGAGATAAACCCGGCCGCCGAGAGGGGGCGGAGTCGTCACCGCGGCAACTTTCAGGGGAGGGAAGGGGCGTGGCCTGGGGAGTGTGAGATAAACCCGGCCGCCGAGAGGGGGCGGAGTCGTCACCGCGGCAACTTTCAGGGGAGGAACGGGGCGTGGCGTGGGGAGTGTGAGGTAAACCCGGCCGCAGAGAGGGGGGCGGAGTCGTCACCGCGGCAACTTTCAGGGGAGGGAAGGGGCGTGGCCTGGGGAGCGTGAGGTAAACCCGGCCGCCGAGAAGGGGCGGAGCGGCGGCCATTTTGCTTTCTGCCTCAGCGCCAGCCGACCGTCCGCGAAGTCTCTTCCTCCGCCCGGCTCGCCGCGACGATGCTCTCCGTGCGCGTGGTGGCCGCGCTCGCCCGGACCCTGCCCCGCCAGGCCGGCTTGGTGAGCGACGGGGCGGGAAAGGCCGCTCCTAATGCCGCTGCCGCCGCCGCCGCCGCCATCTTGGGCTCCGGCCTGGCGGTGACATTGAGGCGGCGGCGGTGGTGTCCTCCGTGGCTGCTCCGGGCCTCCCCTGCGGCCTCTTCCCGCGCGGGCCGGGCCGTTTCTGGGCCTCGCTGCGTCCCGGGGCCTTGGGCCTCGGCCTGGCGGAGACGCCGGCAAGGTCATCGGTCTGCAGCCGGCCGGTGGGCGGGAGGGAGAAGCCCGCTTAGAGCCTGGGCCAGGCCTGCTCGTCTCCCCCGGGGCCGTTTCTGGGGTGGGGTGGGGTCTCTGCGGCGTGTCTGTCAGAGGAAGGTCAGCCTCATTGGGGGCTGCCCCGGTTTTGATCTCTGGCCGTGGCTGATGGGCGTTGTGTTCCCGGCTACCTGGCTGGAGGAAAGGAGACTTTCCATTCTCTGTGTGTGTGTGTGTGTGTGTGTGTCTGGTCCAGGTAGTCCTCGACTTAGGACCGCTCATTTAGGGACCGTTCAAAGTTAACAACAGCACGGGGGGGGGGGAATGCGACTTAGTTAGGACTGTTTTTCACCCTTTGCAGCAGTGGTTCTCAACCTTTTTAATGCCGCGACCCCCCCCAACCGGTCGTAAGTCGAGGACTACTCAACCGGTCGTAAGTCGAGGACTACTCAACCGGTGCAGCACCGTTTGCAGAATGGGACTTTTGGCGGGCTCAGCAGGGCAGAGACAGCCTGGACAATTCCTATTGGCTTTGGAAAGCCAATAGAATTTAGACTCTATTCAAGAGAGTCTATTCTATTGGCTTTCAAAAGCCAATAGAATAAAAGGGAGTAGCACAGCTAAGGAAAAGGGGGAAAAGAAAATGGCAGACTGCGTTGTTTGGCGACCCCCGTGAAATGGTCATTTGACCCCAAATGGGGTCCCGACCCACAGGTGGAGAACCACTGCTTTGCAGCATCCCCTTGTGGTCACGTGATCCAAAGGAAGAGGCCCGGCAACTGACTCGGACTTACGACGGTTTGCAACCTCCCGAAGTCGCGAGATCCCCTTTGGCGACCTGACCAGCAAAATCATTGGGGGGGGGGAGCCAGATTTGCTTAATGGCCATGGTGCTAACTTAATCACTGGAGGGTTTCCCTTAACAACCGGGTGGCTAACGTAACGGTAGCAAGACAGATCATAAGATCTCACTTAATAGCTCATCGTTTGGGGACTGGCAACTGACTCATACTTACGACGGTTGCAGCGTCCTGAAGTCACATGAAGATCCCCTTTTAGCAACTTTCTGACGAGCAAAAAGTCATTCGGGAAGCCAGGTTCACTTAATACTAATATAAAAAAGTTGGAAGGGACCTTGGAGGTCATCTAGTCCAACCCCCTGCTCAGGCAGGAAACCCTATCCCATTTCAGACATATGGTTGTCCATTTTCTTCTTAAAAACTTCCAGTGTTGGAGCATTCACCGCTTCTGGAGAAGAAGAACTGGTTAATTGTTCTGACTGTCAAGAAGTTTCTCCTTAGTTCTAAGTTGCTTCTCTCCTTGATTAGTTTCCATCCGTTGCTGCTTCTTGTCCTGCCTTCAGGCGCTTTGGAAAATAGCTTCACTCCCTCTTCTTCGTGGCAGCCCCCGAGATATTGGAACCCACAAGTCATAAAAAGTCCTTTGTTTTCCCACCTCTGATATACAGAATGGCAAAGTTGAAGCAGGGAATGTCACAGTGACTCCCATAATGCCTTGAGTCCATCCCATAATAATCAAACCACTTAACCGTGTTACTAACTTAACTGTAGAAAGAAAGGTGCAAAATCTCAATAACTGTCATCCTTTGGGGACGGGCAACTGACTCAGACTTACGCCAGTTTGCAGCATCCCAAAGTCACGTGATCCCCTTTGGCGACCTGAGGAGCATCAAGTCATTGGGGGAAGCCAGATGCACTTAACAACCGGGTTACTAATCTATCCATGGCCGTGATTCACTTAACAACAGTGACAGAAAAAGTTGTAAAACGGGGCAAAGATCCCTTAAAGATGTCTCACTTGAACAACAGACATTTTAGGCTCAGTGGTGGCCATAAGTTGAGGACTGCCTGTACCAGCCACAACACTGCCGGATGGTGTTTTTATGACCTTGGAGGTTTTCAAGTGAGAGGACCTGCTGCTGTTGCCATTCATTATCTATGGATCATATATAACCCCCATTTTCTAATGAAATGAATTTTTTTTTGTCTGCAGTGGGAGGTGGGAGATGGGTCTGCATTTGTCCTCAGTTCAGTCTTTTGGTGCAATTTTGACGCAGTATTCGCAACGATGACTTTGCTGCTACAATTTAGTCTGTTTTTGTGGGGTTTTATTAGGGGTATCCCTTCAGGTGGGTGCCATGACTTTAAAGCCTGTTTTCTCCAGTTATTGCAGTGGAGAAGTAGCGTCTTTTAAAAGACTAACCATTAATTCAATATATACTATGTTATTGGACTCTTCCAGTGGTTGCTGACCTTTGCCACAGACCCCCCTCCTTTAAATACTTTAAAGCCCTAGCCTAGACTATATCAAGCCTTTGCGGACCCCCCCCCTTTTAATATTTTTTTATTTTTCCAAAAAAATAAACCCCATACATATACCGTGATATTTATCAGATGTTAACATACATTCTTTTTATGTTCATATATAAGATACTTTTAATAAAATGAAATAAATACATACACATGACTTTTGGTGTTGCTCACCCATTTCCCCTTTCACAGTATCCACACTCCTTCTTTACCCTCGTTCTCCCTTCTCTTCCCTACTTCCCTCTTCTTCCTCTTTCCTTCACCACTCTTCTCCCCACTTCTCCAACCTTCCTACTTCCTTCTCCCCTCCTTTACTCTTTTCTCTCTCCTTTCTTCCCTCTTCAGATACAATTCAGGGGTAATGGCGGACCCCCCTTATGTGATGACATTGTGACCTCCCAGGGATGTGTGGACCACAGGTTGAAAACTACTGGTCTAGTAGTCTAATAACATAGTATATTGAACTGTTGGTTAGTCTCTAAAAAGACTACTTTTGACATTGTTAAAGCAGCAGCAAATGTTTGGAATACATTTTAAATGGGAGCACAGCAAAAACTGCACAGGTACACTTTAGATTTTAGACATAAGTAGTAGCCTTAAGATTCCTGTTTGGACATTAGTAAGATTTTTCCCTGAAGGTTAATGCAGAGAACGAGGGCTATGAATAAGCTTCTGCAGGATGAGGATTTTGAATGAGCAGCATTTGGAAAAAATTCACCAAAGCTTTGATCCCACGCTTTTGCAGAAACAGGAGACACTGTTTTTTAAAAGTAAAGCATACAACTTTAATCTCTTCTGATTCCTAAAAACGGCTTTGGAGAGAAACCCTAACTGACTACCCCTCTTTAAAATCACCTCATTTTTTTTCCAGGGATCCTTGGCAGAAGACAAACAGATGAGCCTCATAAAACACATAGCTGCTTTAAAGAGTGTTTACTGTGTAGTTTTGTATATAAATAATGTATTGCAATAAGGAGCTCATTGATAACTTTTAACTCAAAATTTTGCCAGAAAAATAAGATTGGAGTTTCAAACTGGAGACCCTATGGTTTTTTTTTCCTTTGTCTTAGGTGTCAAGGAATGCTTTGGGCACGTCATTTGTAGCAACAAGGAACTTCCATGCCTCCCAAACAACTCTACAGAAAACTGGTAAACAGTGCGCATAACTCCTGGCTTTATCTCTAAATTAAAGGTGTTTCTCCTGCAGCTTTTTAAGTTGTTTGACATTTTGCTATTCATTTGTTCGTTCAATTTCTATAGCTGCCCAATTCAACCAGATGATTTTCCCTATCACGTTGCAGAATATGGCTGCTACTTGGATCCATGTCCCAGCAAGAGTGAAATGAAACTTATTTTTTTAAATGACCAAAGCAAAGCAGAATTTGCCATGCTGTGTTCACTGGCTAATTGTTCACCATCCCACGGTTTGCTGGAATTTATTTGA